AAATAAGCTGGTATGGTGCCCAAAGACCATAGTGGCCACCAGTAAACAACATGGTAAGTCGTGCAGACGACGCACCTCCCTCACCAAAATGGCGGCTCCCAACCTACTCCTCTTGCTGTTATTACACCCTATACACATGTCATATATAAGTATCTACATTCGTGTTCACCATAGCGAACCACTAAGCTGGTATGGTAAGTTCAGTCAATGAAAGGTGACCACACACAGTCAGAAGACGACGCCACCACCCTCCCTCCCTTGGCATTACTCCTTCCACTATGGAGCACAGTGCTAAATATCACCACAATTCTGCTATTATCAGAATCCTGGTCAGTTTTATCACAGTCAAGGGTCTTCTGTAATACTATCATCGCTAAATAATAGCAGTCACATATATATTTTTACATTTTTAGGCGATGCTGTGGTCACAAGCTGAACAGCGGTGCTTTGAGCTCATGCTGTGTATGCCAGTCTTTGTGGCTCGCTCAGTACTTACTGAGATTCTCACACCCAGGAATGTTGACCACGATTTTTTTTCTAGGTGGCGTCTGCCAACTATCGGTTGTGGCTGCACTATAGCTGCCCCTATCCCACGCAGGGGGTTTAAATTAAAGCGCTGGACACTAAAACAGCTATTAATGTATTGCGCGGTATCAGTAATGTTACTTAAATCATCTATATATGTATTGCGTGGTCTAAGGGTTAAAGAGAGGACATGATGACCAAACTTTGCTTCTTCATCAGAAGATGAAGAAACGAATACTTTTCTCATATCTTCAGCCACATTATTGTGACTCTTCATCCGCTTAACACTTTGATGCTCTGGGCGTGTGTGCACCACACTACTCCGGGTGGGTTTGGGCATTCCACGGGAGCGCGCAGTAATTCTGAAAAGTGTATCATTTTTCAACTTTGTTACCTCAATTCTCGTCCTAGGTTTTTCAATTTAGTATCATTGTGTTCACAATAGAATTCTCAACAGGACTAAAGGCATATTAAGTCCAAATGCCCAGCGTACCATCCGCAACAAACAGAGAAAGTGAGAGCGTGTTACCCGGGAGCGCGGAGCAAGAGCGATAAAATGTTTACACTCTTTTCACTTTGGTCACCTCAATTCTCGTCCTAGGTCTTTCATTTTGGCATCAATATGTTCACAATAGAATTCCCAACAGGAGTATATGCATATAATGTCAAAAACAGCGGTGCGCTCCACCCGCCGACAAGATGAAAGTTACCAGAAAGAGAGTGCTGCACCCCCCCAAGGCGCTTTTCATTACAATAGAGCACGTGGTCATACAGAAATGTGTATACTCTTTTCAACTTTGTCATCTCAATTATCTTCCTAGGTTTTTCAATTTGGTATCAATGTGTTTATAATAGAATTCTCTACAGGATTAAATGCATATAAAGCCCAAAAGCCAGGCGAGAAAGTGAGAGCGTGTTACTAGGGAGCGTGCAAGATCAATAAAATATGTACACTCTCTCCACTTTGGACAAATCAATTCTCATCCAAGATCTTTCATTTTGGTATCATTGTGTTCGCAATAGAATTCCCTACAGGAGTATATGCAAATATAAAGTACAAAAGCCCGGCGTCCCACCCACAGCAAACAGAGAACGTGACGGTGCATTACCGCAGTGAGCACTAATAAAGAGCAATAAAATGGGTATAGTCTTTTCAACTTTGTTATCTCAATTTTGGTCCCAGGTCTTTCATTTTGGTATCAATGTATTTGCAATGAAATTCCCTACAGGTGTATCTGCATATACTGTCCAAAACCGCGGCGCCCCCCCCCCCCCTTCCAAAGCCGCCGCCAATTTGCCGCCGGAAACGACGCAATGCTGCCGTACCCCAGACACGGCAGCCCTGGCACTCCAAGCACAGTGAAGTGCCGCAACCGAACACAACACACGATGCACCCTCGGCAAGACCAACCAAGCATCAACAACCCAAGGACTCCACTGGAAAGAAGCTGTGTCAGTCTTCGCCAGAAAAGAAGGCAATGGCTGCAAGCGAGCAAACCTATTAGGAGAACCAAAAGAGCCAAAACCCAGGCGCTGGAGGAGGCCAGAAAGCATCCCGACCTGACCCCTGGAGGCCAACGCCAACAAGAAAAGAGCCCGGAAAACAATCCAAAATCGAAGGGGCCACAACAAACCGAGGAGAAGAGAAGAGAGCACGCAGTCCAAGAACCAGGACAGCTCAAGCGGTGCAAGAGCTGGCTGGAGGTAAACCATGCCATAGACGGCTCGTGAAGTGGTGCAGAGGCAACTCCAAAGCCGAAGCAACCTGGAGCAGCTCCTCCAGTGCCGCATGAGACAAGGCGACAGTATGTGGCAAGATAACGGCCTTGAACCTCCACAAGAGAAGGACAAAATCACGCCAACAATATACAGCAAACCTACAAAGGAACAGAAAGAAAAAGGAAGGACCACCAAGATGAAGCACGCAGGTGGGGACACCATCAACGAAGCCACCTGATCACCAGTAGACTGGGAGAGACTCGAGGCAGAACCGAACCAGCCTTGCCATAGATTGATCGAGCATAGGAAGAGGCGGAGCCGCGGGAAAACCTTGGGTGCGATCACACCAAGCAAGCAGAGCCGGAAACCCAAGCCGGCAAGGAACCAGATGGAACATCTGCCATACAGGAAACTTCTCAACGGTAGCGAGCTCGCCACGAGATTGGAGACACTGTGGTTCCAATACGAGACTCGTGAGAAGTGACACTCACTTCTCTCCTTCCCTGCCTCCCTCCCAAGCTCTGCCTGCCTCCCTCCGTGCCTGTCTCCCTCCGTGCTTGCCTCCCTCCCTGCCTCTCCGTTACAAGCTCTGCCTGCCCACCTCCCTCCCAACCTCCCACTGATTTGTGGCAGACGTATCTTTGTAAATTAATTTAAAGGCTGAAGCGTGATTAGCTAGCTACATGTCGTAAAATCTCCATATAGACATTTTCTGTGATAAAACAAGGTGAGTGAGGGTGGACAGATAAGGGAATACTGTTCTGTAAACCTCACTTGGTTTTCCTTCGTCTGTGTCGTTATAGTTCAGTGACCCATGACTTTGAAAGTTTCAGACTAATAAATCATTTCTAAAACCAATGCTTTAATAGCTTTTTATTATCCTAATTAAACTAAACTAAATAAAACCGAAAATATACTGTAATATGATAGACATCTGCTATTTGAGAAATTATTTGTTATTGGAACAACTCCAGCGTGAGCGAGTGGACGGGTCTAATCCCTGTACACACCATGCGTTTCTCGTTTCAATTCGTCGCCACAGTTCAGTGACTACGGCTTCGAAATAATAAAATTAATAAATCATTTAATCAATGGTCATTTAACAGATGATGAGATTATACAAAATGTTACTGGCACTGTTGACATTCCCAGCACCAGCACAGCCGTACCCAGCGCCAGCACAGCCGTACCCAGCACCAGCACAGCTGTACCCAGCACCAGCACAGCCGTACCCAGCACCAGCACAGCTGTACCCAGCACCAGCACAGCTGTACCCAGCACCAGCACAGCCGTACCCAGCACCAGCACAGCCGTACCCAGCACCAGCACAGCCGTACCCAGCACCAGCACAGCCGTACCCAGCACCAGCACAGCTGTACCCAGCACCAGCACAAAAGCAGCTGAAGCCAACACAGCAGCAGCGAGCACCAGCAAAGCTGATGCAAACATCTAAAAACATCGTGTGTGAAGTGAACAATTAGAATAAGTGTTAAATTCAAGTGTGTACATAGTGTTAAAATTAAAGTTGCAATAATTCTAATGTACAATAGTTTTCAAGAACTGTATTGTAGTACTCAACATACAGCAAAACCACTTTTAATAATACAGTGCTAACGGCTTAATGCACTGCAGTACCTATTTACTGTAGAGCATTCACAACTTCACAAAACTTCAAGATGGACATAACTCCAACAATAAGGTAAATACATGAATTACAGAATTTTTAGTAGAGTAGTAAAATATAGGTACAGTAAGTAATATGATACAATGCATTTTTATTGTGTACAAGAAAAAAAAAAGACACTGACGCAAACGCCTCTTGAAGGTCACCTCTTGCAACGAATCCAACGCTCCAACGAACTGGGGGTGGTCCCATATAGTACGTTGAATCGAGGTTGTACTGTATGACAAAGAGTGCTGGGAAGACGGGACACCACGAGCGTAGCTCTCATCCTGTAACTACACTTAGGTAATTACACTTAGGTAATTACACATGACTGATGCCAAAGTCTGATATTAGCATATCAGCCTGGGATAGCTCCGGGGAGCCGAAGGGGCTCCCCGCTCCCCCAGAAAAAAAAAATATCTGTCTTATCTTGAGGTTATCTTGAGATGATTATCTTGAGGTTATCTTGAGATGATATCTTGAGGCTTTAGTGTCCCCGCGGCCCGGTCCTCGACCAGGCCTCCACCCCCAGGAAGCAGCCCGTGACAGCTGACTAACACCCAGGTACCTATTTTACTGCTAGGTAACAGGGGCATAGGGTGAAAGAAACTTTGCCCAGTGTTTCTCGCCGGCGCCTGGGATCGATCCCAGGACCACAGGATCACAAGTCCCGCGTGCTGTCCGCTCGGCCGACCGGCTCCCTTGGACCGGTCTGTCCAAAGTTGAAAGCCAGATGCTTGAGACATCTGGCCCCTCACCCAAATTTCTAAGGGACCGGATGTGTTGGGCACAGGATGGACATAGACTAGTCAGGATAGGCTCAAGTCAAATGTTTTAAGAAATAGTATATAACCCAACACCCCCGAACAATTTTTCATGACGTTAGAAATATACTGTACTGTGTACAGAGGTCAGGTTTTTTGGTCAGGATCTAAAGTTTTGTATATACTGTATTTACTTACTTTAAAGTAAGCTGATACAGGACAACAGTACTTGACTTGCAGTGTTTATTTAGCAATATAAATGCTAACCAAAGCTATAGTTGAGAGAAGACAAGGGATGGAAGAAGAGAGGGTACACTAAAACCTACCCGTAAAATTCGAAGCCATTTCTTGGAAAGCTTTGGACGGCCACGCACAGTCTTATGCCACACCACAGGAAAGTTTGTGCATGAGCAGAAGTTTTGAGTGATGGCAATGGTGCTGTCAAGGTTGATTACAACATGCCACCAACCTCCTGGCACAAATACCGTCTCACCAGGACCCTGTACCAACTCCAACTGAAAGAACAAAGAAGAATGACCATGTTATAAATATACAAATTTCTAAATTCATTGGAGCTAATGAGAACACAAACCATGACTATTCTCCAACTGTAAGAGATGGATACATGATGCTATATATGATAACAATTTTGAGATCCTGTATAAACTTTAGTAAATTGTTCTTGCCTATTTACAAAAACATTAATTTGAAAACAAAAACCAGAGCCAGAGGCACTCGACCGGCCAGTAATCACATCAGCCAAGAACTGCCGGTTGGATCGCCGGCGCGGATGGTCTGGGGCCCCCCTTATTATTTTCCTGCCGACTTTCTGGGTGCCGACCCTTTGTGATGGCAGACATGAATAAATCAAAATAACAATTTTCATAATGCCACTACTCCCTGCGCCTTTCTGAGGGGAGGCTAAGTTCTGGCTTGTGGTCCCCTGTAGGCCAATAAGAATTCCATGGCTGATGGCACCTAGTAGTTTGGCACTACTAGGTATAGTAATACTGATGTAGTATATATACTACATCAGTATAGTAGCTTCAGTGGCCCACAAGGAACTCCCCCAGAAAACAGTCAAACCACACTATTGAAAGAAAAAGCTATGTAAAAGATTTAGGAGCAATCATGTCAGGAGCCCTTACTTTTAAACAACACATCAAAGTTGCTGTCACAACTGCAAAAAAATAACAGGCTGGATAACAAGAACGTTCCAGACAAGAGATACCACACCAACGTTGATATCTTTTAAGACATTAGTGTGTTCTAGAGTGGAATACTGTTGTACACTAACAGCCCCATTCAAAACTGGAGAAATTGCTAACCTGGAGAGCATGCACAAATCTTTTGCCGATAGAATCCACCCAATAAAAAGTCTTAAATATCGGGACTGCCTAAAAATGTTTAATCTGTATTCCCTATAGTGTAGGTGGAAGATACATAATAATTTACACTGGGAAAATATTAGAAGGACTGGCTCCAAATCGGCACACAGAAATAAGACCACATGAGACCAGAAGGCTTGACAAGATGTGCAAAATAGCCCCACTAAAAAGCAGAGGTGCAATAAGTACACAGAGAGCTTGATCAACATTAAAGGCCCAAGATTTTTCAACACTCTTTCCATACACTTACAGGAAATAACTGGCTGACCTCTCGCAGTGTTCAAAAGAGGACTCAACATGATAAACCAGACTGACTCGCACATCAAGGTAATCTTGAGGTTAGCTTGAGATGATTTCGGGGCTTTAGTGTCCCCCGCGGCCCGGTCCTCGACCAGGCCTCCACCCCCAGGAAGCAGCCCGTGACAGCTGACTAACACCCAGGTACCTATTTTACTGCTAGGTAACAGGGGCATAGGGTGAAAGAAACTCTGCCCATTGTTTCTCGCCGGCGCCCGGGATCGAACCCGGGACCACAGGATCACAAGTCCAGCGTGCTGTCTGCTCGGCTGACCGTCTCCCAAGGTGTGAGCAGCCATATTGAACAGCCTGGTTGATCAGACCAGCTGGGAGGAGACCTGGGTAGAGACTGGGCTGCAAGGATGTTGATCCTCAGAATCATCAACAGATAGTCAGGTAGTCATGGGGGCAGTGTTAGCTATAACCAGGGGTGCAGTGCAGGGGTTAATGTGTCTCCATAATACACAGCATATTAATTATTCCATTATCAGTTATGCTTCAACTGTTACTTCAGTCAAAGTGTACAATGTGAAAGGTATTGCATGATTTCCACGTAAACAAATGTCACCCCCCTCACAGTACACGTACCAAGTTCTCATCCGTAACATTACCTGTTAAGCCAATAATATTTTAACACCATCTTCCAACTTTTAATGAGACAGAAAATGTTAAAAGATAATTTTTTAGGCCTAAAAAACTTTGAAATGAGACAATGGAAATTAAAATGCACTAAATAACAACAAAGGTATAGAATAACAAAAGGAAACTGGTCAATGAAAACAGAACATTGACAAGTAAGCCCATGTCTTAATGTCTTGGGAAAGTGATTAAAGAATTTATTAATAAGTAGATTAATATATTATTAAAATAATAAAACTTGAAGCCTCACCGGTTTGTATTTTTGTGGCCAGGAAGGAAGTTGAGTACGAGGATAGATAACTGAAAACCAAGTTATTGCTTCATCTACTTGCTTCCCGCCTTCAGCTGAAGTTACCTTAATCAATTCTTTAGGGGTATCAGTTGGAAACAAGCACCATCTGTAAAGAACAATATCACTCATACACTATTTAAACATAATTGCACTATGATCAAGAAGTTCTAAAAATTCAGGTAAGAGAAAGAGATATGAATAAAATGAATAACAGAAAACAAGCATTGAATATAATGAAACACCAATTTCTGGGCGAGCCACAGTTGGGCACCTGGAGCTATCATCTTCGATGTAGGTGCCATCTACCAGGTGCCATCCGCTATGGAGTTCTCTGGCCTACCAAGGACGCAGAGCCAGAGCCGGGTCCTCTCTCAGAGGTAAAGGGAGCTGTGGCATTACATAAAAGTTATTCATTTATGCCACCCACCGAGGAAGGCACCAAGAAAGTCACCGAGTCAAAACAAACCAAAGCTGGCTGTAGACTGGTGTAAAGCAAAGCAAACAAAGCTGGCATAAATGACCTGCAGACTAGAAAAAGCCCACAAACTATGTTAACAAACTATTGAAAAGGTTAAAAAATAGCTCCCACTCAGTCGCCCCACCCTACCCCTCGTTTGGGGACAAGACGATTACAAGCCATGGCTCAGAGGCCACTGCACCGTCAGTTTGATGAACGATGTAAGCACATGACACCCCTCTCTCTCTCAGGGAGGGAGGATGTCAGAGAGCCACCAGGGCTCACCCAAAAACTGGTGTTTCGTTAAAATCAATGCTTGTTTTCTGGGGAGAACCCTTTGTGGCTCCCTGATGCTAGCTACCCCCTGAGAAGGAAGAAATGGGCATGTACCAAGGAGGAGAGAGCAGGTATCATAACAAAGAAGGAACAGTTGGCTTAGAAAACAGACCCAAGGCAACACAGGAGCAAAGAAGCCTGCGAACACTGACCAAACAGTGAGCTATCAATACCTAGTTTGACCTCCATAACCCCTGCACCCAAATATCAGGACATATTAGCAAAAACAGACAAAAGAGCAACATGAATTCAGATGTCATGAGCAAGAGGGTAGACCACAGGCTGACTAGACTTGATGACACTATGGACGACCTGAGAGATGAGTCTTGAAACAGGAAACCAAGTAAAAAGAATCAATCCAAAATATGTCAATGACGCAGAAGCAGTGGCATGAGGATAGTGACAGTCACCACCGAACACAAAACATGATGCACCCCAGCCGAATCAACCAAACATCAACACCAACCGACCCCTCCAGATTCTAACCAAATCATTCTTTGCCAGAAAAGAGGGAGCCGGCTAAAGACGAACAAACTGACCCCTCAGGACCGAAGGAACAAAAACCCTGGCACCAAAGGAGATCATGAAGCTCACTAACACAGCAACCAGAAGCCTGAGTCTCCAGAAAGATAACCTTGCAAAAACAATTCTGGAGCAAAGGGGACACAGTAAACTGAGCAGAAGACAAAAAATAGAGCACCCTGTCCAGAGATCAGGCCGGCACTGGCAGCGCATGAGCAGGCGGGAGGTGAAACAGGAGAGCCTACAAAATGGAAGTATCAACCCAAAATGAACCTCTGTCCAAAGCTCTGAACCCAAAGCTCTGTCAGTGCAACACAATACCAGACAACAGTATTCTGCATGATATGCCAATCAAGAAACAACCAGGATAGAAAGAAAAGAACCACCCTCTAGGAAATCGACAAAAAACATCTAAGAGATAGGTAGTAACAAAATGACTACCAAGAAACCTCATACTGTCACCTCGAGGAAACCCGCAGGTGGGACACCATGTCAGCAACTTGACCGCCATAAAGATGGCAATACCCCTACGAAAGGAACTCCAGACGTGAATAGCGCAGGAGACATTCAAACCAGCAAACTACATCGCTGGACCGACCCTCTGGAAGAGATGGAGCTGCAGAAAAATAACCAGTTTCTGACACCAAGCAAGCAGTACCACACTGGGGTGGCCACCAAGGATCACCATATCCTCGTAGAACTCCCAATGCACCAGGACCTAGAACCTGGGAAAAACCCAGCGTTGAATGCAATGAAACGCCATTTTCTGGGCGAGTCCCGGAGGCTACCCAGAGCTATCCCAGGCTGATATGCTAATGTCAGACTTTGGCATCAGTCATGTGTATGGAGTTCTTAGGCCTACCAGGGACCACGGCCAGAACCGGGCCCCCTCAGAGAGGCAAGGGAAGCAATGACCTATAGAACCCCCCCCCCCTCTGTGGCTGGAAACATTCTTTGTCTGCCATCGACCGGATCAGGCACCCAGAAAGGTAAGCGCCCCAAAACAAACCCCTATTCTGGGTAAAATTGCTACCAAAAGCCAAACTAGTGGATAGAACTCCCAAACAGAAAACGAGCAAACTAGTATGATGTCACACGTCGCCGCGCCGCTGTCTGTGCAGCTTCCCACTTCCCGGGAGGGGGAGGGGGAGGGGGAGGGGGAGGGGGAGGGGGAGGGAGGGATGCCGGGGAGCCTCCAGGACTCACCCAGAAAATGGCGTTTCATTACATTCATTTATGGGGGAAGCTCCGTCGGCTCCCCAGAGTTAACTACCCACAGACGGAAAAAGAGGGACTTACCTGGGAGGCGGTCGTCGCTCACTCCTCAACTCAAAGTCGAGACAACTGGCTGCAACCGCCAATCCAAAGCAACACAGGCCCGACGGGGCCCAGGGACATTCACGAGGTAACGAACAGCCAGGACCCTGTTCGACCGCCAAAAACCCCGCGCCCGAATATCAGATCAAAACATGTTCCCAAAGACAGCAGCAAGAACCGCGAACTTACGGATGTCATGGGCACGGGGATAGACCGCAGGATGGCTGGATTTGATAACCCTGTGGACGACCTGAGAGACCCGAACCAGCGAACAGGGAAGAAGGGAAACCCAATCAACCCAAAGCTCGCCCCCGGACACAAAAGCCGTGGTGCGCAAATAACGGCGAAGCGCCGAAACCGGACACAAAGCATGATGCACCCCCGGACCCCACTGGAACGCAGCAGTCTCATTCTTCACCAGAAAAGAAGGAGACGGCTGCAGGTGAACAAAACAATCGCCACAACCGAAAGAGCAGAAACCCATGTGCTAGAGGAGAGCGTGAAGCTCCCCGACTCGACCCCCAGAGGCTAATGCCAACAGGAAGAGAGCCTTGGAAAAGCAATCCTGGACCAAAGGGGCCACGACGAAACGAGGAGACGAGAGGTAAGCGAGCATTCTGTCCAAAGACCAGGACGGCTCAGGCGGCGCATGAGCAGGCCGGAGGTGAAACAAAGCACCTCGATGTTACGTCTGCGAAACGGCGCAGACGTAACATCGATACCAAAAGCAAGCTGAAACGGCTCTGCCAGCGCCGCACGATACGAGGCAACAGTGTTAGGCATAAGATGATAGTCCTGAAACAACCAAGAGAGAAAGGACAAGATCACCCTAACCGACAGCGAACTAAAACGGCGAAGACGCAAAATAGAAATAGAAGAACTCAGCAGACGAGTCACCCAAAGCGACCAGCCCCAAAGAGCCAAGGAGAGCATCAAACCCCAGCGGTTCAAGCAATAATCCACCGGAGAACAGTCTGAATGGAGCCGGACTGTCGATCCGCAAGACACCCGAATCCTCTGGAGCTACATCCACACAGCTGCGAACTTCTGCACTGTGCTGTGAGCCTGATGGAGGGACGGAACCCACAGTCCCTGGCCGGCCTGGTGAGCACTGGTCACAAAGCCCCAGCCGAGAGACGACGCACTCCGTGAACACATCGAGCGAGGGCTCGGGTAGGCGCCACGGCACTGAACCTGGAAATATCCAAAGAGGAAGCCGGAGACGCAGCAACTGGTGCAAGACCCCTGGAGCCCGGATCCAGCGATCGTGAGAGTGGTAGAAGAGACAGCCCCAAAGGAACCAGAACAGCCGACGAAGCCACACCTGACCCGGCAGGTAGACCAGCACAGCAAAGTTCAAGCTTCTGCACAAACTCTCGAGTAACCAGCGGGTGACCCGGGAGCCCTCCAGAAACAAACGAAGGCAGGACCGCATGCGAAGGAGGGACTCTGAAGGGAGAGACAAGGAAGCGGACAAGGTATCCCACACAAGACCCAGCTAAGACCGAACCTGAGAGGGAACCAGATGGGACTTCCTCCAGTTCATCAGGAACTCGAACCCAGCTAGTTGGAAAAGAACCAAATCCCTGGCAGACACGCAGACCGACTGGAAGCCCACACAAGCCAGTCGTCGAGGTAGGCAAGGACCCGAACCCCTAACAGATGCAACCAAGCCACCACGAGACATGTAAACACGAGCGGTGCCAGATTTAAGCCAAAGGGAAGGCAACGAAAGCGGTACCCTTGACACCCCACAATAAAACCGAGTCAGTTCCTGAACCTTGGATGAATCGGTATGTGCCAAATTGTGTCCTTGAGGACCAAGGACACCATGCAAGCACCCCACCTCCAAGAGAAGCCGGACCTGGGACAGTAGTTATCCGAAAGGACAGGCAAGAGACCTCAGGTCCTCACAGTCACATTTCGGGGCTGGAAACAGGCGGGAAACTTACCTGAGAGATGTCGTCGTTTCGACCAAGCCCAAGCGCACCCACTCCGAGATGACCCAACAAAGCGCAGGAGAAGAGGCCTGCCCTGACAGCCTCGAACCCCCCAAGGGAGAAAGGGCCTACCAACGCTACCGCAGGCCATCAGAAACGACCCGGAAAGCCCACAAATCGTGAGACCAGGCATGAGCGAACAGCGTGAGCCTCCCTTTACGGGAACACAACTTCGAAACAGAGCGATCACCGCACCAACCAGAAGAAGAAGGGTTCGGAGGCGACTCCCGCCCCGAAACTGGAGACCACCTGCCTACCACGGCGGAAGGAACCACGAGCCCTGGCACAACCCTTCCGGGAATAACTCCCCCGGGGAACCCTGAGGACCAACAAGTCAGACATTGGACAACAAGAAGCAGAAGACGCCTGCATATACTGTGCGACCGCCTCCTTCCCAAACAGTAAACGGGAGAAGACAACCGAAGAGCCAGGGCCCAAGCAAACTCCACAGATGAAGCCAACACCTGACGACACGCGAGACGGGAAGCAAAAAACAGAAACACCGCATCTCGCAGAATTGGCGCAAACAGCTGCAACACAGCAGATGACATATGAGCCCCCAAAAACAACACGTACGACCTTGGCACAGCCCGAAACGCCTCCACATCCTCTTCAAGCCAATTCGAGGACAGTTCAAGAAGGGAAAGGAACCACAAAACCGAGGCTAAGGAACCATGGGCGCACAAATCCTCAGCAACCAGCACAGCTGAAAGGGAAGGAACCTGCACGTGAGGCTGCTGCAAACCAACATCCCGAGGAAGGGCCGGAGCAAACAAGCACTCATTGAGATGCTCAAGGTCGCCCCCCCCCCCAGGTAATTCTGGGAAACCGTCAGAATCTCCAGCCATACAAGCGTGCGGGAACAACAGAACGCATGCCAAGCATCCAAAGTAAAGAAGGGGCAGTCTGCTAGCCAAGACGACTCAGGAACCTCATAACGAACCCAGAAAGGGGAGGAAGCCCCAAACCTGAAAGAAGCAGGATTCATCAAAGAGGCGTAATCAGAGTCACGCAGGAGGTAAGATGTTATGGCTGCCCGCACTTCATTGGCTGGGATGCGGGAAGCCGAAAACCTCCGTAAGGACGGGACCGACGAACCTGAAGTGACCCGGAACCGAACCCGAGGAGGGAACGACACCATATCCAAGTCATAAGCAGAAGGGGGAAAGAGAAAACCTCCCTCCGTGTAACAACAAGCCCTGCTGGAAAGGAACAAAACCCCAAGCAGAGTCCAACGGGCCCCAAGGCTCCCAAGTCAATCCCTCCCCAGCCCCAAGGGGCCCCCCATCACAGGCCCCGGGGCGGAGCTGTCCTTCAAGTTCAAGACCCCGGCCTCACAAGAAAGAGCTGGAGTAACCGAAAAAGCAGGGAGAGAGAGAGCCCACTGGTCAGACTCAGATGCCCCGGCACGAGGCCCTGGCTTGAATGCCTCCGTCGCTCATCCGGAAAGGGCAGTCCCTAAGACCGCCTAAGTCTCCACACCATCTAAATCCTGGACTGACTCCAAAACCCTCAGACGCTTCGGAGCCCGAACCAAGGAGAGAGGGGGAGCAGAACGAACCACAGAAGGGAAAGAACAAGGGGCATGGACAGAACTAAGGTCAAAGCAACCAAAACCCCCAAGTCCAGGTCTCTAAACTCAAAACGAGACAGTCTCGAGGCTTCCGGGTCAGCAACCCACCAAGCACGTCGAAGCAACCAAAACCGAGATTGCAACGACTGAGCCACTGGTACCCGAACACCAAATCAGAGGTCCGGGAAACCTGAGTTACCAACAAGCAATAGAGCTCACAGGACTCTGGGTCATAGGTGTCACCGACACAGCAGCAGCATGACGGAGGCAGAAACAGTGAGTGTCCCCCGGAGACAAGGGGACAGAGCAACCTTCAAACTCGTACAAAGCAAGAGGAGACTCAGAAGACACATCCATCGGACCCAATAGCCCCCGTGGGGTTTCCTAGGGCCCTTAGCTTTTCAATCTCCACTAAGGGAAGCCCAGGCAGGGTACTACTAACCGGCTCACAGAACTACCAAACAAACCTCTAAGACTGCACCCCGAGACATGTATGGTCACGGGGGCCTAGCAGGGGTACCACCGAAGTAAATATATAGATATAAGGCATGACTCAACTCAAGGACACATCCCCCGCCAAAACAAAGGAACAAAAAGATACAAAAAAAAACTTAAGAGGACAGTGTACACAGAGGATGCAGAGCTGCCCGCTATGTGAGGTGACAACTAGCTGTGTAAATACCATGCACCCCTACCAGTGACGAATACTAACCCCTACCCACTGACAAACAGGGGAGCAAGAAACCCCCCAGCTGACTCCAAGGGAGGACAAGTACCGAGCAGTAAATGACATAATGGGGGTAGCCCCCAAAATGACTTGTGGAAGGAGGCTCCAAGCCCCAAGGGCAGTACTTACAGGGTGCTTAGGGAAGGGGACCCTAAGCCATGCAGCCCCAGTACTTGTGAATATATTCCCAGCTCGCACACCACCGAATATATAGCAAGAATCAGAAAAGTAGTCTGGAGCTGGAGGTATACAACCGAAGCCCACCGCCATCAGCCAAGAACTGACAAGCTTGGGTAGCCGGCGGAGGGATTGGGGCTCCCCCTTTCCCCTCCTGGGGAGGGTGGTGCGTTGGTAACGAGATAATTTCAGGCTCGTTTCTTTTCTTCATGGGGAGTTCTATCTATTTGTTCGGCTTTAATAGCAATTCTTAACTAGAATAGGGCTTTCTGGGAAAGATAGGCGCCATGTTCAATTGAATGTGCTGACCCGTCGTTGGCAGACATAGCATACTTCAAAATTATATATAAGAGGTCTCTATAGGCCATTGCTCCTCACGCCTCTCTGAGGGGGCCAAGTTCTGGCTCGTTGGTCCCCAGTAGGCCTAGAACTCCATGTACATTGATTGATGCCCAAAGCTAATACTCAGTATCAACCCAGATAGCTCTGGGGAGCCAAAGGGGCTCCCCTCAGAAAAGAATTATTTCTTCTTCATTCCTGCTGTCACTTAGACATTCTGCCTCTACAAGGTTCAGTTTCAGCTTCTCTCTGCCCTCTTTCTTTTGAAAGATCTCGTCTTAACGGCCATACTTTTCCTTCCTCATCATTTTGTAATTTTCTAGAATCCCTGAGTACTTCTTCCATCTGTTTGACACCGTTTAAGGTTATCCTCAAAGGTCGATCTTTCCCTTCTACGTACTTGCCAATTCTCCTGTAGTCACAGACATTCTCTATGGTAGTAAGACCTTCCACTAGTCCAACAATTTTATCTACTACTTTAGCTTCTTCTTCTTCAGTTCTTTCTGACATAGATGTTACCTTCTTTTCTTTCAACCAAAAATTATCAGGGACTTACTTCGATCGACTGTGTTTTGTACCAATTTAGGATTTGATGTCAGTTCCTTTCTGACTTCCAGCCTAATGTTTGTTTTATCCTGGTTGCTGCAGTGTTTGACTTCTTTTACTGCTTTTTCTATTTTTCCTTCTCCTTGACCACTTGTGCATAGGTGAGTTGCATATCCTTCTTGCACTGTTCTATTCCCTGTGTAACTTCTTCCATCAGTACTAACAAAAGCAGTTTTCCCCTTGAATTTCCTTACCTAGCATATTGTAGTCATTAATGTTTAAATTTGCTTTAATTTCTTCCAATGCTATTTTCAAGAGTTTATTTTTCCTCTTCCATGGCTTTGCAATTTGTTTCCAATTTAATCTTGTCCTTACATAAGTCTTTCACTAATCCCTCAACACCTAATACTTTGCTACTCAAGCGGTCATTACTTTCTTTCAATTTGCTAATTATTTCTACATGATAGTTCACTATAATATCTAATTTTGCCAACTTGTTGTGCAGACTTCTTATATCAATGCTTTCTTCATTGAAACTACCAAATTCAAGCTCTGTTTTGTTTTTCTCCTTTGTGGTGGCCATCTTGAATGTCATCGTCTGTACTTCTGTTCACTTCATGTGCCAGGAGAAGTGAATTTGTTCACTTCCCCTGGCACATGTGTTATCTCACCTATTTTTCCAAAGCAAAACACCTTTATGTTCCTTGGGACACCATTCTATCATCAACCTGTTCTACAATACTTAGGAATTTTGAAGTGTGTGTTTGTTTTTATATATATAAATAAATAAAAAGGGTACCACCTCTGGTGCAAGTGTAGGAACCCATAGCCTTGGAGAAGACAATAAAGAGTACTCAGGGAAGACCTTGTGGATACACATTGAACACTGATATTTTCCTCTCATATTATATATATATCTATATATCTATATCTATATATATCTATATATATCTATATATATATATATATATATATATATATATATATATATATATATATATATATATATTATTTATTATTTTCAAGATTGGTCTCGCTGCATACGTTTATTCTAGAGAAATAGATAAAGAGGGCTGACTAACCTTTTGTGACCACGTAAAAGTGAATTCCAAGCACTAGTTCCAAGTGGATCTATATGAATACCAGTGCCAGAGCGAGAAGGGCCCATAACAAACCATCTGTAGGGAGGCCGACGGTCTTCACCAGTATATTTAAACAAGTCATCTCGAAAATATTTGGGCACTTCGTAGTCCTCTAGGAGCTTTTTACGGCGAACATGCTATAAAAAAATGTTAAGCTGAAGAAGACACCACAAATTTCATAAAAATAATCACTAACCAATTAATTTCTATTAACAATTTTGTCTTGCTCTGAAAAACCAACCATTGCAATTCACAAAGAATTAACAATAAGATCAAATTAATTCAAGAGAATTTATCAACTAATAATCATTATGTCCAGTTACATATGATGCAAATGAGACCATGAAAGCTTTACAAGACATAATCTTGATTGATAACATCCCTACTGATTCTTGTAAATGCCCAAATAGCTTACAAATACCAAAACAAATGAAGTGATACATTCTATGAAAGTGGTCAACCCTCTAAATACTCTCTAGCTATATAGAGGTAATCAGGGTAATTTCCTGGTTTATGAACATTCTTGAGGTCATCTTGAAATGATTTCGGGGCTTAGCGTCCTCATGGCCCGGTCCTCGACCAGGCCTCCTGTTTGTTACACACCCCCAGGAAGCAGCCCGTAGCAGCTGTCTAACTCCCAGGTACCTATTTACTGCTAGGTAACAGGGGCATCAGGGTTAAAGAAACTCTGCCCATTTGTTTCCGCCTCCACCGGAGATCGAACCCGGAACCTCAGGATTATGAATCCAAAGCGCTGTCCCCTCAGTTGTCAGGCCCCATATTCGATCTTACAAATAGTCCCCAAATTGCCTTATTAGCATCTCATCTCTATAAGAACGTAAAATGGAGTGAGAATGTCCCGACATAAACAAAGTACTGTAGGTCCCCCCCCCCCCCAAAAAAAAATGTAACAGGACTTAGATCCAGGAAACAAACCTCAAGACCACTCACAAGGCCAAGAGACACATTCAAAGGTCAAGAGAGAGAAGGCAGAGAAAACAAAAAGGGACTGCAGAGTTGGAAAGACATATGGCGGAGAAGGAAACTGAACAAGAACCCAAAGGAAAACTGAACAATCAAACCACCCGACCTACTTGCAAAGACTAAATGTCACAACAGAGTACTGCCCATCCCCATACTGCCCCAATACTGCCCAAGTTGCTGTTGCCAGTCTTGACAACAGCAACGAAAGAAAGAGGGACCAATGACCCCCAACTCCTGTCCAGGGGTTATCACTCAGAAGCCCCAACATCATAAGACCTAGTAGGAAAAACTAAGCCAGCCGACACAAAATAAAGCAAGAAAGGGAAGGGTGGGTAAACTACATTTTCTTGGACTATCTGAAAACTTGGTTTGTTGCTTCTTGATGCTTCATTTGTTAGGCCTAAGTTGCATCATGCTTTTTGTCTGGTGGCTCTTCACTGCTACCTTCATGCCATTGCATCTTCAGTGGATTCATTGTGGGTTGATCTGAATGTCCTGGTTCCCTGTTCCAGGGATCATGTTTCTCAGGTTGTCTGCAGTGTTATTAACACTTTCGTTCAGGGGCGAAGCAGTCGGCCCCAATAAATAAATTGCCATATCTGCTGGTGACGCATGTTGCGTCAAAATTTAAAATATATGTTAAAATTATATTTTTTATCCAATCATTATGGGACTAGTTTTAGAATCCACGCCTTTAGATTGCAAACAATTTGATATAAAAAATAAATGACGTAGTATGACAATTGAGGTCAGAACACTGGAAATATTATAAATACTTAGATAAGCGTCCGAAATTAAAAATACTGTATTTGTAAAAATTTCATTTATTGTTCGATTATTATGGGGACATTAGTTTTAAAATGCACACCTTTAGGTTAATAACAATTGATACTATAATGAACGACGTAGCACGACAGTTGAGGTCAGAATACTGGAAAGATTATAAATACTTGTGGTGATGAGCATTCAAAATTAAAATGTTTGTTAAGATTCCATTTACTGTTTAATTATTATGGTACTAGTTTTAAAATGTGCATCTTTCGATTGCGAACAATTTGATACCAAAACGAACAATGTAGCTCGAAAATTAAGGTCAGAACACTGGAAAGAGTACATATGTTAGCGTGGATGCGTGCTCCCAGGAAACGCTAGGTCCACCTTGGGGTGGGTTGGGGCGTGCGCGCAGGGTGCGCGAAAGTGTTAAGTCTAGCCAACCTGCAGTCTACCCACATACCGATAACACAAAGCAAATCAGAAACAGGACAGAAATTCACCAAGGCAGAAAACAAGAACTGAGAAATAATCTCCCCAAGTAAGAGCAGAGAACAAAAGGCAAACCCAGAGGCAAATACAGGCAACAAAGACCCCAGTTGACCCCAAGGGTGGCCAAGTATCGAGCAGTAAAAGACACAGTGGGGGTAGATCCCAAAGTGACTTATGGAGGGTGGCCCCAAGCCGCAAGGGTAGTACAGTACTTACAGGGCACCTAGGGAAGGTGGCCCTAGACGCATGCAGCCCGAGTACCGAAGAATATTACTCCTGGCTCGCACACCACCAGTAGAGACAGTCCATGCCGCAAGGCACAGAATCTGAGACAAATTGCAGGAGCCAGAGGCACAAGACCACGCCAGTAACACATCAGCCTAAGAACTGAAGGGTGGATCACCAGCGTGGGGTCTGGGGCTCCCACTTTCCCCTCCCGGGGAGGGGAGTGGGAGGTTGCGCAGACAGTGGAGCGGTGACATGATAACGTCATGCTCGTTTGTTAATTTTTGTTGGGGGGGTTCTGTCCACTCGTTCGGCTTTCGGTAGCAATAGTTTCACCAGAATAGGGGGGTTTGTTTTGGGACGCCTACCTTTCCAAGTGCCAGAGCCGGTCGATTGCAGATATAGAATCCTCCCAACCACATGGGGGTTTCTATAGGCCATTGCTCCTCGTGGCTCTCTTGAGGGGGCCTGGTTCTGGCTCATGGTCCCCGGTAGGCAAGAACTCGGTGTACATTGACTGATATCAGAAAGTTATACACACCTATTCAGCCTGGATAGCTCCGGGGAGCTGACAGGGTTCCCCCCTCAGAAAACCAGCATTGACTGTAATGAAAAGCCATGTTCTGGGTGAGCCACCTTGGCTCCCTGGAGCAATTGGGCTAATATGTTATATATTAGACCAGGGCATTAGTCAATGGAGTTCAGCCAACTGGGAACCACGAGACAGAACCTGGCCCCCTCAGAGAGGCAGAGGGAACAATGGTTCAATGAAAACCCCCCGTGGTTGAGGGTTTTCCTTATCTGACATCGATCGGGGTTTGGCACCCAGAAAGGTAGGCATAACAAAACAGACCCCATATGGTAAACAAATTGCAACTGAAAACCTAACAGAGAGGCAAAACTCCCTCATTTCCCAAGGAAACAAGCAAACATCACACCTCGCCGCCATGCCGCTTTTCCACGCAGTTCTCCCCTTCCCCAGAAGGGAGAGGGGAAAGCCCCGGATCCCCCGCACCAGCTACCCAACAACTCCAGCTCAGAGGCTATCTTATTTCGTGGTTACCTTTAGATGATTTAGGGGCTTAGCGTTCCTATGGCCCAGTCCTCGACCAGGCCTCCTTTTTGTTACACATCCCCAGGAAGCAACCTGTAGCAGCTGTCTAACTCCCAGGAACTTATTTTTTTTACTGCTAGGTGAACGGGCATCGGGGTGAAAGAAAATCTGCCCATTTGTTTCCGCTTTCGCTGGGGATTGAGCCAGAAACCTTAGGACTACGAATCTCGAGCGCTGTCCACTCAGCCGGCAGTCCCTTTAAGGCTAAGCATCAAAACACCGCGAAAACTGCCAACCAGAAGGAGGGAGGGTACCAGGGAGCCTCTGGGGTTCACCCAGAAAATGGCATTTCATTACATTCAATGCTGGTTTTCTAAGGGGAGCCCCTCCAGCTCCCTGGAGCCACATAACTAAAAATAAGGAAAAGAGGGACTTACTCTGGAGGCAGCTGCGACACTCCTCAACACGAAGGCAAGACAACTGACTGCAACCTGCAACCCAAAGCCACATACGAATACCCAAGACCAGGAATGTTGACCAAATAACAGGCAGGCAGGATCCTGTTCGACCTCCAAAATCCCTGCGCCCGAATATCAGCCCAAGACATGTTGCCACACGACAGCTAAAGCAGCAAACTTCCGAACGTCATGGGCACGAGGATAGACCGCAGGCTGGCTAGACTTAATAACCCTGCCAACGACCTAGGAGACCCGAGCCCTGCAACAGGAATATCTAGAGATGATTTTGGGGCTAAGCGTCCCCGCGGCCCAGTCCTCGACCAGGGCCTCCTTTTTGTTACACCCCCAGGAAGCAGCCCATAGCAGCTATCTAACTCCCAGGTATCTATTTACTGCTAGGTAACAGGGCCATCAGGGTGAAAGAAACTTTTTGCTCATTTGTCTCTTCCTTCACCGGGGATCATACCCCGGAACCTCAGGACTACGAATTCGAAGCACTGTCCACTCAGCTGTCAGGCGCCCTCGAGGGAAACCGGATCAACTCAAAGCGCAACCCCGGCCACAGAAGCCGAGACGTCCAGGCAACAACAAAGAGTCGCAACCGGACACAACACATGACATGAACCCGGCCTGACCAAATGCGCATCGATGACACAAGAAGCACTCCGGAAAGCGGCGATCTTGTTCTTCGCCAGAAAAGAATGAGAAGATTGCAACCTAACAAACCAACTACTAGGACTGAAAGAGCAGAAACCCCTGCGATGGAGGAGAGCATGAAGCACACCAACCAGATCCCCAGAGGCCAATGCCAACAGAAAGAGGGCCTTGGAAAAACAGTCTTGAACCTAAGGGGCCACCACGGACCGAGATGAAAATAAAGAGAGGCCAGGATGGTCCTTGGCCATCCTGGCCAAGGACCAGGATGGCTTAGGTGACGCATGAGCAGGCTGGAGGTGAAACAAAACACAAGAAAGCTTATGAAACGGGGCAGAAGTGACATCCACCCCGATCGGAAGCTGGAGAGGCTCTGCCAGTGCTGCATGATACGAGGCGACAGTATTTGACAACAAATGACAGTCCTGAAAAAGCCAAGAAAGGTCAAGACAACCCGATCAGAAATAGAAGATAACCTATGAAGAGAGAAAATGGCAGA